ATTTATCTTGGCAAGCAAAGAGGAAAAATACTTTCAAAAAGAAAAGAGAAAAGTCAGAAGATTCCCCTCCCCATCTGCCCCGCCTGCCAGCATGAGCAGAACCTCCAACCTGCAAAGGCCCTTCATCTCCTGGGCCTGGGCTCCCACCCAGCTGGATTAGCCCCTTGCTGCTTTCTCCTTGGAGCCGGACCATCGTAGTGGGAGCAGGGAGGCTGTGAGAACTAAACCGATCCTAGAGGGAGACTGTTTCCAAATAGCTCCAGTGGAGGTGGGGAGGGAAAGTCACAGTCAGAGGATGGATATGTGAAAGGGAAAGGGAGGTACAGATGTATCCAAAGTGACCACAGTGGAGAAGTGGATGCAAGGAGAGGAAACAGTTCCTTTCTCAGCCATGTGGAGCCACTGGGTAGGAGCACCTCAAGGTGCACCGTATACACAGCTGGACAGTGGAATAAGCTTAATGCCTCAGTCTCTTCCTGAGGCCCTCCAGAGGTTTAACTCCAGCTCTGGGTGGGGGCAAATAAAGAGTTTGCATTTGGATGTCTGAATGCCTTTCATTAACTCCCAGGATAACTGCTGTACAACGGGAAGGGGTGTTCAAATGAGAAGTGCACGCACGCACACACAGTTTGCTATTTAGACAACCCTAAGCATGAGGTCAGGGTGAAAACATGTGGTGGAAATATGTTTGGAAGAGTTAGTGCCTATGTCGGTCACCACGAGTGAGAGAGAGCAGGAGCCAGCAGCTGACAGATTCGCGCTCTCCCTGTGGCAGAGGTGGCCTCAGCCTGAGCAGATTCTCCTGTGGCATGAGACCAGCTTCAGGCTGCCTGGAGATGAGATCGTTGCCACCCCTGCTTGCACACCCCAGGTTGTTCCCCTTGGGCACTACCTCCCTGTCATCCCAGAGCTGCAGTGGGGGATGGGTGGCTACAAATCAGGCTTGGATCAGGAAATCTAGCACATCCTCACCATTGCGTTTCTGTCCCTTGGCTGCCCCCTCCCTGACCGCTCACTGGTAATACAGCTTTGGAAACACATCTCGTGCTATTTCTTGGCTTTGGAGCATAGTTAGAAGAAGGAAGGAGGGTGCGAAAGGGAGGGGGAGATAGCAGGAGGGAATAATGCAAAATGAGACTGTGCTGTGAGCTTTGTAACCCATCTGGAAGCTGTTTCCCCCAGCTTCACGCCTGCTCCCTCTGGCCCAGGATGGTAAAGAATCACGTTCCCCAGTTGACTGGTCCTCCTTGCTCAAGCTAGGCCCATGAAAGTTACTTGAGATATTGTGAAGGAGAATCTCAGTAGACTTGCAGGTTCCTTCACTGTCACAATAAGGATACTTTTTTCCCTAAGGAGCAGGAGCTGGCTGGAATGTGCTGTTAAAGAGAGAGTTTAGACCTTGGACAGTGCGTGAGGTGAAGAGTCTGCTCTGCTTGTGTATCTCCACACATCCCGCCATTCCCATCCAATACCTGTGGCACTCTTTCTTGGACCTTACGCTTAATGTGCTTCTAGTCTGCTGTGGTGTTGGGAAAAGTCTCTCCAAGGCCCAGCACATTCCTTTCATTCAGTGGCAGAACGTGCAGGCCTTTGGCTGTGTGTTTTGCAGCCTAGGTGGCAGGTACAGCACCTCCATTGGTGTATCAGCTCAAAGCCTCAAGGAGCACGTTTGGTTGGGTGATTAGCCTGCTTCTGTTATCACTCAGAATCTGGCAGCTCTTGGCTGTCATGCTCTGCTGTGATCCATGCAGCCCTGACACACCGTACCCTGGGACCTGCAGTTACCCAGAGCCTTCTCTCTCACATGTGTTAAGGAGAAGGCTGGCTGAAGCCTTCTCGGAGTTTTACCAGATAGGCATAGCTCTCCCACTAAGGCTGAGTGGCAGAATTTGCGTATTCTGGGCTGTTGGGGTTGATCTGGGCTAACTAACAGTGGTTCTGAAATGAACGCTGGGCTTTGCTTCACAGTTGTATCTGGACAAGAGGTAGTTTCTTGTTACCTCATGGCTGCATTACGGATATTGTTGCTAATCATTGTTACTAACTACATTGATACCTATCCTAAAGCTTACGCTAGCTGTTGGCATCAGGAAGGAATGAAGCCCATGAAAGAGGCCCAGCAGTCTCCTCAGGACTTGGTGGTTTAACTTCTTGCTTTTTCTCTTGTGGATTTAGGTGGCTACAAAGCCATGTCATTATTTGCTTTGCCCTTCCTTCTACTTTCCTTTGCCACTTGCTTTCTTCTCTGAATAAAAGCAGTCTCCAGCTCTGTGTGGATGCTCTTTCTGTCCAATCCCTGATGCCACCTTTGATAATACCACAGTTACTCCCAGTCTCATATGCTAGCTAGTCCTCAAGCACAGCTGCTTTCTCTCCACCATCCCACTCAGAGATGCTGGGCTGGTAAATGTATGGTTGATGAGAGATGAAAAGGTGCTACTTTATGTCTGTCTCTTGGGAGAGAATGGGCTCTGGTAGAGCTGAGCTCCTGCATCTCTGGAAACAGAGTGCTGCTTCTTCATCATCACTTTCGAGCAGGGAGATCCCCAGACAGCCTGTGTGGTGTCTAAAAGCAGAATCAGAAATATGCTATGGCATCTGCCAGTGTCAGTGCCTGTGTTAAAGCTGTGCTGACCAGCCCCGTGCACTCATTACTGACATCTGACCCAGAGGCATAGCTTCTCTTCCCTCCAGGTAGGCTTGTCCTGCAATGGGAAGACTGATGGCTGCCCAATAAATCCTTATTTTAAGCATGGGTGCTAAAAGTGAGTGGAACTATTGCATAACCACATCTTCTGCCTGGCTGTTTTCAGCCCCATCTTTGTTAATGCAAACTTGTGAAAGAAATTTGAAGCATGTGGCCATCATAGATGATTATTCCTGCAGCTGCCTATCCATTCCTGGTCCTCTTTGAGAGTCACATGTTCATTCTAGTTTATAAGGCTATGGCTGTACTTATAGCCATGACACGGGATGCCTGTGTGTTCTGGTGTTACACTGGCAGCCAAAACTCTGAATCCCTTTACTTTTCTATGATTGGTTACATTCTCATCCTTACCATAAGGCTATCATGTTCATATCCTGTTTGCTTGTGTTGTTTGGAGAAAGCAAGACAAAGAACAGCTGTTACACGAGCAGGCACTCTCTGGGGTTAATGCTCAGGACTCCAAACTCTCTTACCGCTCTGTGTTGTAGGACAGGACAAACATGGTTTTTCAGTGCTTTTTAGATAACCCAATTCCATCTGCTGGCTCAGCTCCCTCAGAAGAACAGTGCGGATGGGAAGAATTTGCTGTCACTCAATTCAAGTGCAGAAATGCTTCTAGGCAGCTTGAAAATGGCTGAGTAGCTGCCTCACCTACATCCTGTCAGCATGGGAACAAGAGGAGAAATCTTCATCCCAGACTTTCCTGGGAGGGCCTTCTCACTGGGAGAGAAACCTGGTGTCAGGTACAATGTAGGCAGCAGGGACTTTCCCCCATTTCCTACATGCTCTGTGGGCACTTGATTTTTAAATTGAGTGGCTGAGGGATGACACTGGAGGGTGAAGGGCACTGCAATGATAGAACCTACAGCAGCTTACTGTTTCCCTCCCCCACTTGGTGGGAAGTGTGAGTCTGCTCAGTTGGAGCCTACTTCATTCCCCAGCCTCACCCTATGCTCAGGCAGCCCAAGTAATGTTGACAGAATGATATTGTGCTCAGGTAAAGCAAATATACCTTCCTGTAGGAACAGGAACCTGCACAGTCCAGCATCCGGGGTCCTCTGGCCAACTCCTTCCTCAGTATTACAGGTGGGGAAAGAACTGCACTCACCCCCCCCCTCCTCTGGGAACTGGCTCTCCCACTGAAATTTTCACTGGCATTCATGCCTCTGCTCTAGGATCTGTGTGCTGTCTCCCACTCTCTTGTGTCCATACCCTTTACTCCTGGTATTTCAATATGCTGCTTTCAACGCTCTTCTGCCCACCCAGATGCTTTTACAGTCAGGCGGGTGGGGGCAGTCTGACTCGGCTGAGCTCTCCAGTTCATTTAAGTTACACAGTTCTGTCTGTGTAATATAGTCACTTGAATGTATCTGTCTTTTCTTTCCTCTCCATGAGCCAAAAGTGTCAATCTGCCAACGAATGGGATAATTTTTCAGCTGGTGTTTGGCAATCATTTTTCTCCCTGCTCAACCAGCGCTTTGTTGTAGCAAATGGAAAAGTTAGCAATCTGACTTCTGAATAGGAGGATATGCCTCAAAAGAAGCAGGTTCCTGTGGCATCAGGAGCCCAGCTCCCCAACTGCACCAGCCAGATTTACTGGCTGCTACTAGAATGATTAGTGGCATGATTGTTTGTTGTTAACAGCCCATCTGTAGTGTTTAAACTTCATCGGGGAGCAGAATTTCACAGTCATTATCTGGCTGGAGGACAGCTTCATATGGTCCACAGAGGGGCTGTGAAATCCCAGAGGAAATTAAATATAACAGGGGGCCTTCCTGTTATGTGGATCCAATTGATTTTTTTCTTTTTTCTCTGATAGAAATCAGCAGCTGGTTTGATGTTCTCTGGGGCATCAGAGCGCCTATTGCTGCTGGCAGAGATCATGAGAAAATGTCTGTCACCACAGGCAGGTGCTGGAGACTATGATTTTCTGCCACACTTATTTTTTGTCATCACAGCGATTTCTTGCCTTGTGCTCTGCTTGGCTAGGTGTCATAGTGATGATGCTGGGAAGCTGAAGATAGGTACCCACAGAGGAAGGAGGAGATGCGAGAACATAGAAGTTTCATGAGTGTTCACAGCGTAGATAAATAGGCAGAGAACCTATAAAGCACCTCGGCTTTTTCTATCTAAACTCCTGGTGCTTTTATCACACTGATGCAAGGAAGGGGCAGCAACTGCTCTTTCCCATCCAGAAAGTGCTTTTGCTGAGGTTTGGCTGTCAGCACAGCACAAGGCTCAGATTCCTCTTGGAGTTGACACTAATATTCTATCTCCCTTGGATTTTCCTCAGCATTTCTCCGAGAACCTGGATCACTTCTCCGACAACATGGAGGATTTCTCCAACGACCTCTTCAGCAGTTTCTTTGATGACCCAGTTCTGGCTGAAAAGAACCCGCTGCTGGACATGGACCTGGACCCACCCACTCCAGGCATCCAGGCAGAGCACAGCTACTCCCTCAGCGGAGACTCTGCTCCCCAGAGCCCCCTCATGCCTGTCAAGACTGAAGATAATGCTAACGGTGAGCACGAGACACGCACACTGCACAGTCAGACACATCTGGTAGCAGCGGCTCTGGCTGTCTTCCTCATATAAGGACAAACTGGCTAACCCTTGAGCTTGCGCTTGGCTAATCCAGGGAAGAATTTGATCTGCCATTGTTAAATGCAGCCCACATTTTTTCCTTCAGTTTGTGCTCTGACAATCACATTGCTCCTTTGCTGGGCTAGCTGTTATTTACGAGGATAATGGCTGTGGTTCTGTGTGCTGCCAGCTTCTGGCAAGCAATAGGCAAAAGTCATTTTAGGATCCTGCAAGCCTGGGTGTGGATGCCCTAGATCCAGGTCTGTTTTGGCATCCATCAACAGGGTTTTGGCTTGAATATAGGAAGCATGAGTCTCTGGCTGCAATCAGTGCTGGTACATGTGGAAAGCTAAGTGGCTTCTTTACCAGCAGATCTTTTAGCAGGAGACAGAAAGGAACAGTCATTTCAAAGTCTATTTTTAAAACAATTCATTTCAGGATAATTTATGATGGCTGGATATTTTTAGAGCAGTCCTTGCAGAGAGTCCTGTAATTTGCGGCACTGTGTGGGTGTCCCAACAGCTGATGGACAACCGGGCTGCCTGAAAAAGCAGTGGCACAGACTCAGTATACACAGAAGAAAGCCATTCCTTTAAGTGAGAGTGAGACTCAAGACAGAGGCTTCCCTATCATGGCCAGGAAGGATCCCAGCTCTGCGGTACAAAGGCAGAAGTGGAACTGGCCTTCACTGCCTCTTCGGTTCCTACAAAATTGCAGCCATTGCTACCATGTTCCCTAGGAGTCCCTTAGGAAAGTATTTGAGAGAGGATCCCGAGCAATTCAAGCCAAGCAAGCACTGTCTTAATATCAGAAAAGCTTTCCATCTGCACAATTCTTTGTTCCCACCTTTAACCCCAACATAGTCTTGGAGGGCACTCATTCCAAATAGTCAATCAGGCAACTAACAGAAAAGAAACCAGAGTAAGTGCATCGAAACGTGGTTATTCAGTCTCTGCAAATGAACACAAGGAGGGTGCGCCTTGGGAATGAGAGAAGCAAGAAGCATGAGTTGTGAAATGCAGTGAAATACTCCTTGAAGCCTGGATGCATGAAGATACCATAGAGACTCAGCTCTATGGCACCTGTCACTTCTCTGCATCTGGACATATCCCAGCTTCAGTTGCATTCTCTCCAAGGCGAGTCCATGAGTCTCCTGAATGCAGTGCAACATTCCTCCTTAGGCAGAGGCTGGTACAGTGTGAGCACATAAACCAGGAGAGGCTGAGATGGAATCTGGCGTTTGCTCTCTAAGAGTGCAGACAAGCTCTGTTCTGGGAGTAAGGTCTAATATTAGTGTGGCAAGTATAGGGGTATCTATGCCACAAGTCCTGCAGTGGAATAATTCAGGCCATCTTTCCAGGGCTATCTTGGCTTGTAGTGGGATGTGAGTCATGTTCTAGTGTAGCCCTGAGTCAGGTCCAGTATTTGTAACACTGTGCAGTCCTTTTGGCACAGCTCCATCCAGTCTCAGTCCTTTTAGACATTCACTAGAAATTAATTACCAGGAGTGGCTTTTCTTTAACATTAACCCAGAACTGCTTGGTCTGCAGAGTTCCTTAGGAACGCCTGGGCTCTGTCTAGGCGTTGGAGCTGACTGAGGCTTGCTGCTTATCAGCTTTCTCCCAGCTTTTCTGCAGATCTTCAGCACTTCCAAATCCTGCCCCTTCCCACATGGTTCCCACTAACACGAGTCAGCCAGGGCAAGCCTCTGGGTGCGTTGTGACCCTGTTTATCTGTGGAGTCTGCTTCCCAGATGGTTTGAACACAGACTGACTGTTTTAGTTCACAGTATGAGCCCTCCATTCTGGAGGCTGTGATTTGATGCCAGGAGCAAGGGGAGCCAGGATCATGCACAACAGTGGGTGCAAAACCAGCCTCAAGGCTAGTGATTGAATTCCTGTCCAAGTCCTACTTCCCTGTTGCTCTTTGACTTACCACCTCTCCAACCTAGAGCAGCTATGGACATCTCACAGCCATACTTCTTCCTATCAAGTACAGAGGACCCACAGCAGAGCATGAGATTCTTGGCATCCCTCAACATACAGTGGATTGTGCAGTATCTTACATAATGGACATACCTCTGAAATGTCCTCTAATGCAGCAAAACATGGATGTGTCCACACAAAAAGCTTCCTTCTCAGTCCATTACTGACCCTCTGATGGCTTCTGTGTTTGTGAGTCTGCAACCCAGCCATTCCCTAGATAAATCTCCAAGGGTGGGAAACAGAGCTGGGTCAGAACATAGACAGGAAATGGGAGGATGACATGTATAATTATTTGGGTGTCTGCTCCTCGGACTGTCTGGACTGACAGCTCTGGGGGCTGCTGTCTTTCTGAGTCAAGTCTTAATGGGGAAAACTGTTGGTGGTCTGCTCTCCCTTCCCCGATAACTGGCTTCAGCAACAGGCCTCTCAGATGGAGGATGTCTTGCGCTTCTGAGAAAAAGAGAGCATAGAGTTCTGCAGCAGGAAGAAAAGATGAGGAGAGTGAGGCCTAAAATCACACCAAAGGAACTTCAGATTAGCCAGTAGGCAAAAGATTCCTACTGTGGGAATAGAGAAACCCTGGAAGAGATTTAGTGGGGAATGCTGTGGACTGTTAATTGCTTTGCAGAGGAATGAGATTAAATTGTACAATCCTCTGCCAGGCCTGACACAAGTTATCTGAACTTGTCTAGAGTTGGGACACAGAACACTTCTCAAGATCTCTCACCTCTGTAACAGGCTGTGGTCAGACAGAAGAAGTTAGTCCAAGTTCTCTGTATGCAAATTCTTGTGGCTAACACCTTGCCTCCAACCATAAGAAGGGGCATACCAGGGGCAACTGGGACTTCGTTACCAGATGTGGGTTTGGTGTCCTTCACAGGTCACTGAAAATGCAATTCAGTCTGTCTGCTCAGCAGCCTCTTAATTCTCACAACGCTGCAGTGCACCACTGCCTGAGACGCTCCTTGATGATGCTGGCCCTGCGACATTATGGAAGCTCTAGGAAGTGATCCAGCAGCTCTGGGAGGAGCACGCTGAGCTGGTATACGCATGGAGTAGCCACAGCATCTTGTGTCTGTACTTGAAGATTTCCAGCCACACAGAGAGCTGGAAAGAATGGGCCCCAGCTAGAAAGACTTCTCCAGGCAGCGAAGTAAGGGATGCCAAGCCAAAGACAGGAAGACATACCACAGGCAAAGCTGATGTAATTTCTGCTCAAGCTTTGAGACAACTGTGTCTCAGGGTTCCACCCTTTCTTCTCCTGTGGGCAACAAAACCTGAGTTGGGCAAAGATGACTTTACGGTACCTTTAACTTTGGTTCACATGGCAGCTCCATCATGACAAATTGCTCTGTCATGCTCTTCTTTGCACAGACGTTTTTTGGAGCTAAGAAGGACCTTCCTCCTCTCCTGCCAGGACATCTTCTGGACTGAGGCTGCACTACAGTGCTGCTTTGGGCAGCAAACAGCTGGGCAACCCCCCTGGCTGTGGGAGCAGTATGTGCAGACAGAGATGTGCAGGGGCTGGAGAGTGAGCCTGAATGTTGCCTTACGTCAAGCCAACTGGGGCACTGTCTGGTGACATACTTAGAAATAGTCTGTCCTTTGTCAAGATAAATGAGTTTCTGTTTGTCAGATAAAAAGGGGAAGGGATGAGGATTAGAGTGGAGGATGCAGGCTCCAGGCCAGCGTGGAGTAACTTTTTGGCAGTCTGAAGTATTTGAAGAGCAATAAAGGGACCAAAGCTTCAGAACAGTGCCCAGGCCACTTTTCTGCCGGGCAACTTTTTCCACCCATGTGAGTTGTACCACTCCTGGTATCTCTGCTTCCAGTGGCGAGCCTGGCTTACACCACATGCACGGTACAGAGCAGGCAGGGTCCAAGATCGCATCCCCACACATCTCCATTCAGTGTTCTTCAGTGCTGCTGCTCCTGCCACTGCCAGCAATGGCAGCTTGGCACAGCAGCTCACAGCAGCCCCCAAGCAATGCAGAGCAGCAGAGGTAAGACTGAGGACAGCAGCCCCACAAGAGAGTGCCACACCGGGCTTCTTCCCATCATCTCCTCTTGTCCTGTGGCCAAGCCACAGTGGTACACGATGCAGCATCAGCAGGAGGCCAGAGTGCATGGATGGACCCCCCAGCAGCCTCTCTTTGCCTTTGTGCTCTCCAGCTCTCTAGCACAGAGGCAGTGCTATTCTTGGTAAAACACCTGGCAGCTCTGTGATGCTGGCCATGTTGCCTGAGAAGCCAAGCCCAGCATCCTCCTTACACTGAGTTCTAAGTATAAATAAACTCCAGAGAATGAGACCGAGACATCAGTGAGGGAAGAAACCCCGCAGCTGTCTTTGAGCACATCGGCTGCATAGGGAGAGCAGAGCAGAGCAGAGACACGATCCCTCTAGCTCGGTCCTGTCTCCGCTCTCCGCACACTGGGGGTTTGTTCCCTTTTGTTCCCTCTGTTGTGGGCCTGCACATGCTTGTGTGGTGACAGTGCTAAACTTGGAAAGGCAGCCTCCCCAGATGGGGGGAAGCTGTCTGCATGGATTATTTTTTTTTTTGTCCTGTTCTTACTAGAGTTTGACTCTCACGTTGTACATGTTTCAGAGCTGGAGAATGGAGTGTGGTCTCTGGGGCCCAAGCTCTGCTCCATCATGGTGAAGCAGGAACAGAACCTGGCTCTAGACCCGCCTGAGTCCCAGCTGGCTGCCAGCTCCAGACCTGTGCTGAACCTCAACCCTCTGCAGAGACTGCCAGTCCCCGAGGAGGTGAGCCCATTGAAGGTCCATTGGGAACTTGGGCTCTCACACAGTGGCACTCCTGTGATGTGGACCCAGCTGTGTGACTGCAGGGTCCTGCTAGGTGATTAAGCTGCCGGCTGGACAGAAGAAGCCCGAATATTGCATCCTTTATCATTCCCCTCTTGAAATAGCAGTCAGAGCAGCACCAAACCTTAGGCTAGCTAGAATTGCCTTCTTGATTCCTGCAGTGAAGCTGCAGGATAGCTTATCCTTCCAGAGAAAGTGATGGAAGGAAGGTTTTCTCTGGCACAGGAGGTTTTACAATCTGGGTTAAATACAAGCATATTTTCTTGGCACAAAACCCAAAGGCTTTTAAGCTTGCACATGCTGGAGGCCTCTCACGCCCAATCTGCCAGTATTTTTGTAGCCACTCTTTTGCTTATTTTCATTGACTTAGGATTACATTTTTCTCAGAGAACAGTGTCAGTTAATGCTATGCCAATGAGCCAATTACTCTTGAGTATAGACTACTGCCCTGCCACTATCTTTTTCACGGCCTTGGCCTTATCGTATGGCCTTTCACTTTTTTCAGTTGCTTACTGGAAATGGAAGCCCTAGTCCAGCTCCTCCTTTGCATTTTCCTATGAGGCAATGGGAACTATTATTTCTAAGGAACAGGAGGCCAAGTCTATTGGTCATATCTAAGTTCTTAAAAAGTCTGTTTGTCTGAAGAGGCTCAGTTATACCACTAGTATGTGGGAGGGAGCTGGGGGCTCTGTTTGGCTGTCTCTGAGCCCAGCTTTGTTGGAGAGGAAGGTTCGAACACAGATCTCAGTTATCTTGTAGCAGCTCAGTAGATAACAGGAGAGCCACCCTGGGGTTCAGTTCCTTCATTCACTCATGCTGAGCATCTTCCCACTTAAACAGCCATCCAAAACAAATGGGTACTTCCAGCCAAAACTGTGCACAAACTTCCTCTACTGTTTACAAAGCTTGAACTTGCTGTGCCCTCGAAGCTCTGCTGTGTGTGCTCAGCAGCTATACCATGGTGCTCTCTCAGCTGTGTTTACAGTCTGGAGGAGTTTGCAATGTGTCTGTTCAGTGTAAAAACTCCCCCAGCCTGTGGTGGCCTGGGGGCTGGTAAGCCAGGGAGCTGAGGGGCAGCACGGCCCAGATGGAAGAAAAGTACTCTTTATTTAACTCCCAATCCTCTCCAATTGGAAACAGCTGCCCAGTGGTCCTGCTGAAAATCATGTGAGCAGGATGGGGTTTTGTTCTGTTTTCTTTTTCTGCACAATATCTATGCTCCCATTTCTAATGAAGACAGATCAAAGGGGCCCTTCCCATGGTAACACAGAGGTTGGTTTAAGTTGCATTGTCTGTGTTTAGCAAGGGAAGAAATGCCAAGGATGAAAGTCCAAAGTACCTTTTGGAGGTACTCAGGACACTGCTTGGCAGTATACCCATCTGCCACTGCTGATTCTCCTGCAAACATGGGATTCTCCTGCAAACGCTGCCTGCCCAGCAGCACAAACTTCAGGAGGCTACGTTTGAACTCCTGGTTGTTGCTGTGTGTGGTGAGAGGCTGTCTGGGGACAGAGCTGTGATATGGGGTGGAACACAGAGTGGTGAGCAGGGGCTGTGAACAGATCTGGTGGGAGCACTCTGGGCAGGGGAAGGGACAGCATCCAAAAACTCTTTCTGCTTCTTTTCACAGACTCCCATTGAAATGACTCCAGCTCCTGTGATCAAAGCTGAACCCAAAGAGGTGAACCAGTTTCTAAATGTACCTGCAGGCAAGAAGACAGAATTTGCTGGTAAACATACATCCTTCTAAATTACTCAGATATAGATCATTATTATTTCCATCATTACTTGAGAGCAGAGCCATATATATGAGATAGTACTGGGGTACAGACCAATAGATGTGGGGGGCATTGTAAATTTTCAACTCAGATCAGCATCTGGACCAACAGCCACACACATAACTGCTCAGACAGGGACTCCCTGGCAAAACAGGCAACCACAGAGTTGGAGATATGCAAGAGTGCCTTTAAAGTCCTCAGAGGGACTGTAGCGTTATCCAAAAACAACCATTTGAAAGTCAGGAAGTTCAGGATCCAGTTTAATTTGAAAAAAACCCAAGTATATGAAAATCCTCGATACACAAATGAAAGCTCTATGGCAACTTCCACTTTGCCTCAGAGAAACACTTCTTAGTCAAATTCTCACCTCCATTAAGGTCCCCAGGGCTCTCCAGTGCAAAGTGGGGACAGTTCTAAGGTGCTTGGCAGCCTGCTGAGTAACCAGAGTCGCATTTGAACAAGTGTGCTGTCAGGTGTGCGAGCCCTGTGGTGCTTTTGGAAGAGCTCGTCTACAGAACACGTGAGCAGGTTATGGAACAAAACATCATGTACTCCATTTTGGTTGACACCTGGTAACGTTAATGCTTTGTAAATACCACCAGTGTTTTGGCAAACCCCCTGCCAGTTCTCTGATTCCTGCAGTTCCTAGTTTAGCACATTTGAGGTCAGTCTCACCTCTGTCTTGGGCAAAGCTCAGTCCAGCCTTGTTCTTATACATACCCCATCTTATGAGATTTATTGCTTTCTTCTTTCAGTCCTGTTTTAAGGCAGTGCCTTTTCCTATTGCTACTTGGCATCTGTATGGGTGCCAATGTCCCATCTGTATGGGTGCCAATTGCTGTATGGCATCTGTAAGGCTGACATGACAGCCATTGACTTGATATCCTTGTTTCTCAGTAGATGACCTGGTGCAGATGCCTCCAACTCCGCCCAGCAGCCATGGCAGTGACAGTGATGGGTCCCAGAGCCCTCGGTCCCTGCCTCCCTCCAGCCCAGCCCGACCTGCTGCTCGTTCTTCTACTGCCATCTCCTCCTCACCTCTCCTCACAGCACCACACGTAAGGAAGAAACAGGATGTCATAGCGATGCAGGGCTTCTTGGTGCTCAGAGGGGACTGGAAGCTTTCTGACGCTTGTAGAGTGGATTTGGTTGTTGTTGGGGAATAGGACTCCTTGCTGTTGCTGACAGCTGCTTTCTGTGTGTTTCAGAAATTACAAGGGACCTCTGGCCCGCTGCTCTTGACTGAAGAGGAGAAACGCACCTTGATTGCTGAGGGTTACCCCATTCCTACCAAGCTGCCCCTCACCAAAGCAGAGGAGAAAGCACTGAAGAGGGTCAGAAGAAAAATAAAGAACAAGGTGACTGCAAAAAACCGAAACCTTGCAGTTCCCATGATTCCAGAGCCTCACCTGACCAGCACTGTAGTTATCCTTGCAGTGCAGCTCAGAAGAGGTGGGATCCTGCCTTTGATGCACTGGCACAAGCCTTCCAGCCCACAGTGGTGCTGCGGATCATCTGTGTGCATTCTGTGCATGCAGCTATAGCTGGAGAGTGTGGCTTCTAGCCCATCTCCTGTGAGCGCGTGGCCTGTGATGGGGCCCACAAATTAAAGCATCAAACCAACCGTCCTGGTCAGGTGTCACTGTGGGGGCGGGGAAACAAGAACTACAGCATGGTGTAGGACGAGTGGTGCACAGAGCTCGTTAGCCAGGCAGAAGCTATCAGACTTTAGACCGATTGGAAAGCATCTTGTGGGAGAAATAATGAGACCCTGAATTAGTCACCCAGTGACTCAGAAGTGGTCTGGGGCAGAATCTGCCCAGATGGCCACAGCATGTACTGTGTGAGTCAGAGGAGTTCAGAGCAACCCAAAAGATGCTCTCAGCAGCAAGGGGGGTCAGGCACACTGCAACAAATATTTGTGGTCTATAGGCCAAATAAGTCTGCATGTCTGCAGCATCCATTCCTCCCAGTTTTGGCCTGAAGTCCAGTAGGAATGGCAGACTGGAAGGTGACTTCCCCATTTACCTGAGGGTGCTGTGTGTGCAGAGAGCGGACAAGGCGAGGGGGCCACAGAGACACGTCTAGATGCTTATGGTACTGACTGCTCTCTGATGGCTGCCCCTCTCACAGATCTCTGCTCAGGAGAGTCGCAGAAAGAAGAAAGAATATGTGGAATGCCTAGAAAAAAAGTAAGTTTCTTCTTCTCTGTCCTACCTTTGACAAAGGAGTCCTGTCCTCTCACAGTCCCTCTTTTTAGTGCTTTTGACTCTGATAGCCCATCTGATCCCTTATATATGTCATTATTCTTCCCCACAGCACCTGAGCTCAAATGTGACTGAACCAGGGTCAGGGGTCTCTCCTATTACTTTCATTATGGTATAAGGATGGTCACATGTGCTCTAGCCAGCAGTGACACCATGGTCAGCTGGCACTTTAAACCTCTCCTAACCAAGATGGTGAAGTTAAAATGCCAGAGGAGTATGAGGTATTTCCATTGTGTCCCTATGAGACTCGGTACCCACCCCTGCCCTGAGGTGACCTATTTGACAGTGGGAAGTATTCAGCAGTCACTGGGCTTGCAGTGGGACTGTAAAAAAAGAAGCATATTTTCAACTCAGAAAACTACTGACTTGCTCAAAAAGTACAATTCCTTGCAAGACTGGCTGCACAGAAGTTTGGTTTGGGATCTTGCCCCTACTCCCCTCCCTCCTAGAAATCCTCTTGCAGGATGGAGAATGCTCTAGAAATCTAGTGTTTCCATCTGCTTAGTTTGGCTGGTCCTCTGCAGAACACAGGCCATTTTGGCTGCCCACAAGGTGGGATTTGGGATAAGAGTCACATTTCCCCACTAGAATTGCTCCTATTCTGTCAATCCCATAAGGAGTATGTCCTCCTAGGGTACTGAATAAAGCTTTTCCCCTTCTCCCCATGAAGAGAACACACAAGCATTTGATAACAAGGAAAACCTTGCACCATTATTAACCACACCCTTTTCCTTTCCCTACCCATCCCCCTTTTTGTACATAGGCTTTGTTTTTCTCCTAATAACCCTCAGATCCTGAATATGTGAAGGGTGTAAACCCAAGGTGACATCACATAACAGTGGCATATGTCAAAGAGGGTTGAAAATAACTCCTGAAGTTCTGATCCTGTGGTCCTCTCTGTACCAGCATTCCCAGCGGGCATTCCAGGCAAAGCAAAATGCTGGGATCCAGCTGCAAGCTCACATTTCTGTTTAAATACCATCTTTTTCCCTGTTATTAACACCACCTGAGATCAGAAAAATGGAAAAAAAATCCCCCAAACCCAACCTTAATTAACTCTTCCTGCTGCTGCTGTTTGTTTATCTTGTCTAAGTGTGCAGAAATGCTAAATGAAAACAGATGACTCAAGGCCCCTCCAAATTCTCATGCCCTTTCACAAGCAGTGCCTCAGTGCTCATGCACGAGTCCAGGCACTGCAGCACGTCACCTCCAGTTAGTGTCCCACATGGACACCCACATCCCTCAGGATGGGGCTGGGGAGGTGCTGCCTTTGCTCAAGTAGCAATCAATCTGTGCTGGGGTCTCTTCCCCAGACGTGTATGTACTCAGTGCTTTGTTACGCTAGTGCATTGCTGGGACAGATGGCTTTCAAGCAATGCCAGGTTTAAATGTGAACCAAAAGGAACATTTGATCATTTTTTTTTATAATTTTTTTTTTTTTTTTTTTCATCTATCAAGTCTTTGGTCAGCTTGGCTTTCTGCATGAGCTGATTTGTCAACATCTGTGCTTGGGCCCTTCACCATTCAGCACCATACTTTTGCTGCAAGCCCGGTTTTTGCACGGAACGCCTGGTTTGGAGGTAGCGCTGGAAAGCCCAGCATCACCAGGCTGTGTCCCTGCCCTGGAGATACTCCCTCCCCTTCGCCTGTCCCGAACACAACGCTGCGCCTTTCCTCTCCGGAGCACTGGGAGCAGCCTGCAGGTTCTCTGCTGCCCTCAAGTGCCCACAATAAGAGCTGGCCCAGCATTTGTGCAGAGCTGCCTGGTTCCTGCTGCGAGGCTCCCAGCCTGGCAGATTTTTGGTCCCAGTGGAAGAGGTGTGAGAATGTATACCTCCGATGCCCCCTCCCCCTCCGCTCCTTTGGCATGCTTTTTAGGGGGGTTGGAGATGACGGAACATTTGGCTCCAGGACCACATGTGGAGGCAATGGATGTGGCCGTTGAGCCTGAGCCTTCTCAGTGCAAGAGAGGCAGGGACTGCTTCCTCTGTCCCACCTGTGTAGCTAACTGGTCATGGGTCTTATTCCCACAGGGTGGAGACATACACGACAGAAAACAATGAACTCTGGAAAAAAGTGGAGACCTTAGAAAGTGCAAATAGGTAAGGGGAATTAAACTTGACCTCTCTGTGGGCTGTGCAATGGAAGGGAGACTGAGGGAGCACTGGGGCAGGAGGGCAAGAAGTCAGCCCCCAACTCCTGGTGAGGTGGGTGCGCTCGATGAGGCACTGGTCTGGGGCCCATGGCAGCAGCAAGGCAGCTGGGTTTGCTTAGTGAGTCTGGAATGTTTGTGTTGGGACGGCCAGGCCACGCCGCAGCAAAAGGAGGGAGGGAAAGAAGGAGTTCTCTCCCATCTCTTCCTTCTTCTCCTTGCAGCCCTTTGGGCTCACTGTTCTTTCTTGTAGCCCTCCAGGGGTCTGACTGTCTCCAGGGCAGGTGATTTGAGGGAGGCGCCCCACAGCAGGCCCTCTAACCCACTCCTTCTGTTCTTGGGCTCTTTAGAAGCCCTGGACTTTATGCAGCTGTTTCAGATTTCTGTTGAGAAACAGCCGAACAGACTAGATGGGAAATCTGTTTCCTCTAGTAAAGGCAGAGATCCCAACTCCCACCTTATCCAGGGCAACTCCTTGTGGTGTGGTATTGGTGGAACTGTGCAGCTCAGCCCACAGCCCTTGTTTGCCCTGCCTTGCCCACTTGAACAGCTAGGCTAGAGGAACTCCCTGCAAGCCTGGAGGATCCACTCCCATCTGCTGCTGCTCCTGCTGCCTGCCTGAGAGGAACAAGATGCTCCTGCAGCCCTAGAAACAGGCCCTGGCTCCTTCCTTCAAGTCTCTGGTGAACACTTGTGCTTATAATATGCAGAGGCAGTCAAGAGATCAAGCAGATAAGAAAGACTCATGCCCTTGCTGTGGGGATGAGCAGCCAGAGGAGAGCCCAGCCTTGACTGCTCATACTAGGTACAGTTAGGTATAAGCAAGGACAAGGCCAGTGAGAGGAAAGTTCATTTTTGCAGCCCTGTTTGCTGCCGCTTTAGCATACAGGGCTGTGAAGCACTCCTTGAGGCTCTGCCATTCTCTTCTCATCCATAACAGCAGAGCCATGCCCCCAGCTTCATGCCAGCCACTGCTGCTTGGACTGGGGAACCAAGGTGTGCCATCTGCTGGTGATACTGCTGCCTGGCACAGCTAGCCACAGGTTGATGCCTAACCTCCCTGGGAACACAGGCAGCCCTTGGCGTTGAAAAGGCACGAGCCCCATCCTACAAAATCAGAAGATTGGCCTAAAAGCTGGGGATTATTATTATTATTATTATTATTGTTATTTTTTCCTTCCTCAGAAAACACACTGTTCTTTCTAATTGGGCTTGATTTTCAGTCACTGCCAGGGGGATGCTCTGTGCCTCTTTCCACATGTACAAGGAGCAGAGGAGAATTTGAAATGAGATAAAACTGGGATTCTCCTGCAACCTCCTGGCTCCAGGACTTAGTATTTTATAAAAGTTCATACATATTTATGTGAAACAGCCAGCTATCCCAAGGGGAAATACTCAGTAATCCATATTTGGAGCCCTTACTAACTGCGTGCTCTGCAGTTAGGCTCCTAAGATTTCTTCATCAGCCCAGTGAAGATTATGGTGGCTCTTCATACCACACCTACCTCTGTTCTGTGTTTGTGTATGCTGATGCCTGCATTCAGTTAAACAGGGCAGAGATACCTCAATACATGTTCCTATTGGAGCAGCCAGTGAATGAAGTAAGCACTGAACTCTACATTTGGCTTTGCCCACATCCCTCTGCAGAGTTTGACAAAACTGAAGAAGCTGGAGGGAATCAAAACTGGTTTGTGTTTCTCTCTCCACCATACGGTTCAGGACACAGGCTGAGCTGCAGAGCACGTTTCTCTGAGTGAAATGGGAAGAGACAGGCCTCTTCTCAATGTCTGAGAAGGCTACAGCAGTCAGCCTCCAAACCAGAGCTTGATTCTCATGGTAGCCCAGCTCCACAAGGCTTTGAGATGACCGGGTGAAGCCCTGACTGAATGTGATGTTTATAACTGAGGGCAGTTACAGTGAAAATTGTGTTGGATCTACCCATGAACAGAGGGTTCTCCAACCTTATGGCACCTTGGGGCATTCCTCCCTCAGTTCCTGCAACACTTCATATCTCAACCCCTTTTTTGTTTTGTGCCTGCCTGGTTGAATAACTTGGGTAAGCTATAGCAATGAGGAGAGATTTGTTTTTACAATAAAGGAAAATCAGGCTAAATTATGAGAGGGGTAGTGGGAGCTTTCCATCATTCACTAGATGTTGCCTCTTTATCAAATTCTGATTTGGGTTGTTTCCTGTCCCAGGACTCTGCTTCAGCAGTTACAGAAGCTGCAGGCTCTGGTAGCTGGGAAAGTCTCCAGACCTTACAAAATGGCTTCCACTCAGACCGGGACCTGCCTAATGGTATGAGTGTCATTTCCATCATTCCATTTTGCCATGCTCCCCAGACAGCTTCATCAATCTCTGTTCCTGCCCTCTTTCATACTCTGTTGCCAGTATACTTGCTTTCTCCTCATGTGTTAACAGTACCAGAACTGGACCATGTCATATACACATCAGTAGTGTCAGTTCTTTATGCAACAATATAAGAATAATCCCTGTGTTTTCACTATTTTATTATTTTGTGCCAAACATACTTTGTTTGCTCTTCATTATCTATTGGACATTCAGTAAAAAAAAAAAAAAAAAAAAAAAAGGTCTTAAAAAAAATCATACAATAATGGATATAGTTTTTTTTTTTTTTTTTTTTTTGCTGAGTCTGTAGTCTTAACATTTAACTTAGCAGGGTGGACAAATTTCTTCAGCATTCCTACCATTGAGCATTGCCTTCTACCTATCAGCAAGAAATGACATCTGCTCTTGCTATGCCTGTACATCAGACATCGTTAAATCCAGCTAGAATCTTTCTAATTTGCACTTCAGCTAACCAGAGTTTTTTGGGGTCATCTGTTGGTTTTGATAATCCATTTGCCTTTCATATCTCATAGTGAGGGGTCATACTTAAGCAATCTTGACTTCACTGTGGTGCTGTATGACATGCCAGTGGGCGGCCTAAGTGGAGTCATGCTTATTTTTCATCCCCTTTTTTTTTTGGCCAGGAAAGAGCACTCTGATCCATGATAAAAAACACAACCTCCAACCCTGGGATCTCTTTGGAGGATTGTCATAGTATGAATCTGTCAGTTATCAAATTATCCGTATGTGGTTATCGCTTCTATACCATTAACAACCATGAAACACAGATGAAGAGGTGTTTGCCCCATTTTCTCAGAGTACTGTTTCCTGAGAAGTTTTTTCACCCCCCCCTCTTCTTTCAGTTTCTCCTTTCAAAAATCTGCTCAAACTTCTGCTACTCTTTGCCACCTCCATATCAGATCAGATTTTAATGACAGATTTTCTTTTCTGTTCACTGCTTTGTTGCTTCATTCCCAAGTTCTTTTCACATTTTTGGGTGTGACCCCGCAGTACCCAGTGACTCATTGCTCCTTAATGCAACAGCTCATCAGAGCACCACTGGCTTCAGCAATTCTTCATTGCTACTACCTGAAATGAGCAAGTCCAGGAGAAGCGCCTTCCAGACATCCCCAATGCCATAAAAACTGATAAAATACCTAATTTAGCTTCCCAGCAATGTCTTATCTCTCTTAACTGCTCCCTTCATTCCACAGTATCGCAGCCCACACAGCAATTCTCTCAGGCTTCTGAGCTTTGAAGCATTTCAAGAATTTGTAATTTGCTTTTCTATCTTTGGCCAGTTCCTCTCATCAGCCTCCTAGTTCCCATTTTCCATTTAGTCTCCAAATAGAGCGCTCCTTATCAAGACAGATATGTAGAATAATCATGCCTTGCAGCATGGGCGTGCAGCAGAAGACCCTTCTCTTCTCACTCTGTGCCTTTCCTGATGGATATATTTCTAGCTAATTCCTGAAGGCTCCAGCAGCGAGCAGCCCTCAGCTCCCCTAGGCAAATGATTACAGCATTTTGTTATCTTTCCCAGTTAAAACTTTTGGATATCTCATCTAAGTCTTCCTTGCAATAACTTAAATTTATTGCAACTTACAGCAGGCACACTGTAAGCAATATCAATTTATCCTTTTTGCAGCTGTGTTTCACATATTTGAAAGCTGTTATTTAGGTCACTTCCTTCAGTCCACTCTGCTAAATCACCAGTTTCTTCTATCTTCCCTCATAGGCTGAGTTACTAACTCACTGCTTATACTCAAAGATCTCTTCCAGGTCTTTTCCAATGGCCCCGTATCTTTTTGGAATAAAGGAGCCCAAAGCTGGGTACAGTGTTGCACCTGAAGATCTATACAGAATCAACAAGCCATTCAGGAAGCCTGTTCATCCAGTGAAGCTGAGATTTGCCCTTCCCAAAGCAACACACCTTGTGCTTCACCTTCACTCCCAGACCTGCTTCTGCCAAACAGCTGCCTGCTCACTTACTTGGTGTCGTTCCTTCTGCTAATCACTCCTACCACCTTGCTGCTCTCAGTGTTTGCCTGCATGCATCTCCCTGCTGTTCTCTTCAAACATTTTTCCCCAGTGGTCACGATTGCTCCAAATGCTGACCAAAAGCCCATCTGCTCATGGTCTCTCCCACCTGTAGATTTGATACTGACTTACATCCAAGTTAAGCTTTAAGATGTTGTATCTTGCCAGAGCCACAACAGATATCTTTGCTATTCCATCTTCTACATTCTCCCAGCTTAACAATGAACTATTTGTCAACTACTTCTGAAGACACTTTTAGAAACAAATTTTTCATCCACCTTTCCAACTGATTTTGTAGCATTTTCCTCTAGCTTAGCTTTCCTTGTTTTTAAGAATTCCAAATATGATGTGTCTAGCAACTGGGTTGTCCATAACTGGTTTCCTTACTTCAAAATCAGTCACGAAAAGTCTGGAAAACTAAATTTCCTTTTACATAGTATGGTATCCCTGTGCTATCATAGGATCTTCTGCATATCCTGGAATCCGCTGGTGGCCCATATTAACTTGAAGTACTAGCTTCCGTGTGTTACTTAAATGTGGCTATTCCAAAATACTTGGCTATTCCAAAAAGCAATCAAGAGATTGCCACTGTCTGATTTGTATACATGCTGTAGAAGTCATCAGCAGATGCATTGCCTCTTTAGATTTGCTCAAGCTGATCTCTACACTGGAGGCAGCTATTAATATACTATCCTGTGGGTGGTATATTAATGTGGGATCCATAGTGTTCAGGTAATATTCATGTTGGAATTCAGCTAAAAAGGATTTGGCTCTTTATAACTTCCCATTTGCTCTGTACTGTTAGCTCCCCTAATTAAATGGAGTCCCTTTCCATCATGACAGAACTTACAGATAAGTGCAAAACCACCAGAGGGGAATTTCCAGGGTTTCATCTGCATCTCTCCTTTTATTGCTGTCCAGTAGCTCTGACTAATCTGCCCACAGCCAGAAGACACATGGCTCACAATATGTGCATGCCCAGCTTAAGTTGATCTCCTTCCTTGGACTCCGCCCATATCATCAGAAGTTGGGCTGCTGCAGCTCTGCTGCCACTTCTGTCCTAGTATGGAGAGTAACTTGCTTCCCTTTGTAATCTGCTGTAGTATCTTATAGATGTCTCCCAATGAGCTTGTTTACTTGCAGCCCACTGCAATTCCTACTGTGCTAATGGCCAGGTTCCCTGTGATCAAGGCAAACATCATCTCTTCCCTTGTGCATCCTTCCTTCCCAAATTGCTCCTGGGCTGTGAGCATCTCAGCTGGACAGGCAAGTTCTCACTATGGAACTATAAATACTCCAGAAAAAGAGCAACACAAGGAAGCTTCTGAATGCCCCTTCTTAGATTTCCAGTAGAGATTAGCAGAGCAAGTCCTTCCATCCCTGTGGGACTGCAGTGACTGATGGCAATCCTGAATACATGCTCTCACACAGATGTGCCTGTGTGCTGAGAGGGGGCTTCACTGCTGTTAGTGGCACTGACTGCATGTTGATATCTCCTCACTAGGTGCTGGTGCTCTGCTTCGTTCTCATCCTGGGATCCCTGATGCCCTGTCTCCCAGAGTTCTCTACAGCATCACAGACAGTGAAAGCAACACCAGCGCCAGACATTTATACAACTAGTAAGAGTGAGTCTAATGTGGTACCTCCCTTTAATCCCATCAAACCATTTCCAACTTTTTTCCTGCCACATCTATTTCAGGGGTAGCACTGACCCTTCAGAGCCTACCTCACCAGATCTTGCTTGGTGGGATTCATGGCCTGTCAGTGGTGTTATAGCAGCACATTGTTTGGGCCTGTGTTCATTTTCATCTAGTCATTCTCCCAAATAGGAAAGGCTGCCAAATGAAGAAAAAGGCACAGGTCAGATTGCCTTCTGAAGAGGTGGTGTGTCCTGGGCAGCATTTGCCTGGTGAAGCTTACAGGAATGGGGTATTTTTCAGAGCAGGACAAGGCCATAGCTGGGTGGGCATGTGCTAACCAACACTGTGACCTTTGTGAGAGACCTTAACCACATTATTAACCCATGCTCTCTTTGTTTCCAGTTCAGTCACGGAGCCTCTTGTTCTATGATGAGGGTGCTGGCTCCTTAGAAGAGAGCTACAGCTCCTTCCTAACCATGGACCATCCTGAGGGGTGGGAGGTTGAAAAAGGGCAGTCTGACAAGCCAAGGCCTCATCTGGCGATGACACATGAGACAGCCAAATACATGAGCAAATCCCATCTGGAGAATCCTGACCAGAACCAAACTGACCCAACTCTAACCCACCTCAAAGAGCAATTTCATGAGAGGTAAGCAGGTGCGGACCACAGTCTGAGCCCCAAACCACAGCATGACATCTGGGAGGGACAAGCAAGCATGTCCCCTTCACTGCAAGCTTAGAGCAACCAAGCTCCCTGGGGCAGGCAATTAGACAAGCAGCTGCAGGAGGCCAATGCTAGCTGAGAGCATAAGACCAAACTTGTTTTCAAGAGCAAGAATTTGGAACTCTATAATCAATGTTCCACTGCTCTAAACATGAGCAGGGTGGGATGATGCAGGTGGTCCCAGGTTTGCTCTTCATTCAGTGGCCCAGGGAAGACCTCCATCCTGGTTAGAGCATAACAGCTGGGCAGAGAAGTGAATTTGCCTAGGAAACTGCAAAAAGCCTTCACTGATGTCTTTGTCCTTTTTTTTTTTTTCCTCTCCTCCTCAGGGAAACAAGCTCCAGTGAGACAGCTGAATACTTGTAGCAGCTGCTGGACCTCAAGGCCTCGTCTGTCTGATCGCAGGATTCCCTCCTCACTGACCAACTGAGGGGACTTGGTGGGAGAGGACACTGCATTCAGACACTCCTAAACTGGCCTTGAGTTCAGCTCCTTCCCATCCCCATGGTCCCCTTTGAGAGGAGTCACAGGACTGCCAGAACCAGTAATAAACGTCTGACGAAGTCCTGAGACGCCTTCTTCTCCTGGCCTTATCTCCTGCTTGAATGAGCACTACCCTATGGGTGTGGGCTCACCATGGAATGGAGGGAGGTCAAGAGTATGCCCTCAAACTATTCAGCTCACTCCCCAAAGCCTCCATGGGGGCTGTCCCTGGCCATGTACCCCTTGGCTACATCCAATGCATGTGAAAGAGAGAGAGTTTTACTGCTCTGCTTAAGGGACTTTGAAATGGGTCATGCTGGGACTGGAGAGTTGACTCTGGAGAGTTTGAGCTCATTCCTTCCTCTCCATCTGTTAGTATACTTCTGCCTCCATCAAGAGAAAACCTAGCTCTTCCTTGCTCTAGCTTTCTCTTAATGGATGTGCCTACATAACTTCCACGCCAAATATCTGCAAAGATCTGCACACAAACGGAGTGGGGGAGACAGATCCCAGATCAAGATAAACCACCATGAAAATTAACTGGCAGCTTCTGGGCAACCAGAACTCTAAAACAGGGAGAAGTTTTTCCCCACAGCCCCATTCTCTCCACCCCCAGCACCTTTGTTTTGGCAGAGGTGGTTTATTTTCCTTTTGGTTCCCAGCTTGGGCCCTACAGTGTGGTACTAATCAGAACAGTGCTTTCCCACTTCCTATTCTACACACCCCCTGCTTTGAGAGTGAGTGTGGGAAATCCACTTCCACGATCCTATCACAGCTCTCCACCCAATTCTGCCTCATGCCAAATGAGATCCTCCTAAGAACCATGAAGAAGAAAGAACTCTGCAACCTATAGAAGAGCTGCAATAGAACCATAAACCCCTCATATCCTGATATCACTGCTGGTGCCCAGTAGCTTTGTGAACACCACTGATGACATACTGGCATCTCTGGAGACTGTTACTTCTACCAGGAAAGAGGTATCACATTTGAACTGGCCAGAGTCACCAAAGACTCTTTCAGCTCTCCTCCTGCTAAGTGCCAGCACCGAAGTCAGCAATCTCTTCCCATACCACCTATCAGGCCAGACTTTCCAAATTTAGTTCTTGTAACACCATAAAGCAATGGAAAGTACCACAATATAGGATAACAAAGTCTTTGGGTACAGCAAATGAGGACAAACCTAAATGCAGCAGCTATGGCTACAGAAGTGGAGAAGGAAAGAAAAACAAACAAACAAACAAACAAACAAACAAACCAACCAACCAACCAAAAAAAAAAAAAACCAGCCTACCTTTGGAAAACCTCCAGCAGTCAGGAACATCTATCAAGACACCTTTACCTCCACTTCCAACCCTTAAATGAGGTCTGGGAAGGGGTGGATCCTGGCTCCACCCCTTCCAGCCACTCAGGTGCATTGTACACAGCTGAGCTCCCCTGGGCTGGCCCTGCCTTCCCACCAGGTGCTCAATCACTGGTTCAAGCCGTGACTTAGCATTTCTGCTACAGTGCTGAAATGACTTCATCTCAAACGTGTTCCATTCTCTTTAGCATCCAGTCATCCACTTTTCACCCTTTTTCCTCCCTTCTCCTGCTGAAAGGCCCAAGTGTCTCCTCGCTCTGTACCCTCAGCTGTCCTTTGCTAGAAGGACAATGTGGGACTTGAATTTCTGAGATCTGGGATGCAGCAGATTGCATATGGGAATCTCTGTGTGTGCTCCACTAGACCTCACAGCAGACAACCTTGAAGCTTGTTTTGCTTTAAGTGACCTGCACTCAGACCATGCTGCCCCAACCTCTCTACCAGTCTCGCCCCCTGCTCAAGAACTGGAAGAACTGAGAGAATGGCCCTCACATCTCTCTCTGTCCCCTCTTTTGAAAACTGCTTTTGCCTTGGAAGCCACTTAGGACAAATTTGGACACAACTAGCTGCAACCACACATGCTTGGCCAGTGGGATGAGGAGGAAGAAGGCCTTCAGCACAGCTCTTCTCAAGGTTCACACAGGATCTGCTTCTCACCAGATACCAGAGTGCTCCCAATCCTCAGCCTCTACCCCAGCATAGAGAACCACTGCTGGGTCCAAGCACACCCTCCTCCACCCCAGCACCTCCACTGTGCGTGTCCCCATGCCTCCCACTCCCATCGTTGTACAGAGACCAAGAGCAGAACTCGTTTGTACATAATGAAACTTATTTTGTATTATTGCCGATCCCTTAAGATATTGTATTTTGGAAACTCTCAGATCCTATTTTCAGTATTGTATTTTATTAAGAATTAGTGCGGGCTTAGCATCTATGAACTCCTTTCTTGTTAGCAGCTCACTTTCTCCTTGTACTCCAGTAGCTGCCTCTTCCCTCCTGTTTTATGTTTTGTTTTGTCTTGTTTACTTGTGGGTTTTTTTTTTCAAGCCATCTTTTCTCTTTCTTCTATCACTTGCTCTGCATTTGCTTAGACAAGCAAAATAAAAATAAAATAAAAAGATGCAGCATCAATCCTGGGTTGACGAATCCCTTCATTCCAGCATGGTTGTCACAGCTTCTGACCTCATGCTCACCAGATGTCCCATTTGTTGTCTGCAAGTGGAATTGGTTCAGTGCTGGGAGCTCATACTCAGTGTTTGGGCTAGAAGCAAACTTGCATGTTTTAGGTCAGTGACTTGAGACCTGATGGCCTGTTGATCTGCACCTCTGATAGTCCATTTACATCCACGAAAACTGGTGTGAAACTCGTGGCAACAGGGGGTGTAGGAAATTAAGCTTTATTCTAGAGAGCTCCTGGTGGGTTTGTTAGGATTTGGACATTGAAATGACCATAAATGGCCCAGGCAAGAGTTATCTGGACTTTGGAGATGCTTGAACAAAGCATCCTAAGAGGTTAATTTGTCCAGCATTGACGCTTTTAACACTGACACATTTGGAGAAAGCAGAACCCCTTCCATCAAATCTAATCCTCTCTATTCTGCAGTTTGCTGGATAGCATTCTGAGCCGTTCAAAATAGGCACATTAGGATATTCTGATCTTTGCTGTGCCTCCCAAAATGCAGCCAACTAATCACACCTCCCAGTTTGGCTACAGCAAGTAATTAGAGCAGAACGAGGGAATTAGCTAAATGAGAAGGCACCTTCTTTGAAGTCACCTTCAGCCTTGCTCAGTTACACTCAGTGCACTCCAGACATCCACAGCCCACTTCTGCCATGCCAGTTCAGGCTCCTTCCCGTCTGGGATCATGTTGCTGATGAGCCCGTGTACTGCCGACATGTACAAGCCCTGCACAAAAGAGTACTGACGGAACACAGTCTTCATTTTGCAGAGATGAGTTATTCCCAGCCATTCTCTGTTACCAGGCCAACTTGGAAAAAAAACACAATTGCCTTTGCAGCTCACCGCTGCAGAGCAGGGCACTAGCGGTTCATGGGAACATTGATGCCTTGCAATAGGACATATGCTATTGGAGCTCTTGGTAGAACATCCCCACTTTCCAGGTGCAGCTTGTTCCCTCTGGGTGTCACTGCTTGGGGCTGTACCTAACTGTACTTCTTGTACAGATCCATTATGAAATATGCAGGCTTTGTTCCTGCTCCCTGGCAAGGAGCTTTGGGTGCCCTTGGGGGGAACAGGGTGATCAAGCCTTCTCACAGCCTCAGGCTGAGTGTCCTTTAACCGTGTCAGAGCTGGCACCTTGTTCCATGTGGGTTTTCTTACCTGCTGGAGCTCTCTGCCTTGTGCCTGATGAAATCGCCCATCAGAGGTGCAGAAGCTCTTTGCACCTTGCTATGACCCATGCAGGGGCCACTCAGCCTGCAAGCAGGAGGCACCAAACTCACCCAGTTTCCTGTGGGAGGGCCAGCCCCCATCTAGCAGCTGCAGAGGGGAACAAAGCCCCTGTGGAGGCTGGAGGGGGTGAGTCACGCTGCAGGAGGGAATGGGTTCCCTGCAAGTCACGACTGCACGAGAGAGCAGCTGGGGCGGAGGATGGGGCTGCACCATGGGTCTGGGAGGCACACAGGTCCTCTGGGCTGGGAGGCAGCTGCTACATACCCTCAACACCCATTTCCCCATGCACAGCAGGTTCAGGCTCAGCGTGTGATAAATCCGAGGCAGAACAAATTGAAAGCAAGGTGCCAGGCACATACAGGAGCTCTGCAGGGTCCCTCAGCCCAGCTGACACGACTGGGACCGGGGCCACCGAGCACAGCCCCAGCCCAGCACACACAGATGATGCCGTTTTTCTGCTGGATATCCGTGCTCAAAGGTGGGGAGCCCTTCCCCAGGCAGATCTCACCCCGTGGAACAGGGACCCAGAGCTGAAGGTCCTTTGCTCTGCTGGGGCTGCTGTGCAAGTTTTGGGGTGCCTGCTGCACACAACTGCTTAGGGCAAGCAGCCTCGGCTGTGAGAGACCAGGGCTGGGGATGCCTCCACGCTCCTCTGCCTCCCAGCCTCCAAAGGGTTAAGTGCCAGTTTCAAGTGTCTCTAAGGTGACACTGCGCTCCCCGCAGCCCCCCCTCCACACGCACACGCTCACGCTCACGCTCGCTTTCTGCTTTGTCTTTTGAGTGCTGCTGCAGGATCGGTGCACAGGCACCTGCCTGCCTGCCTGCCTGTGCTGCTGTGGCGGGGAACAGTAGGAGACGTGCCGGGCCCTGGCACTTCAGGCTCCTTCCTTGGTCCCGACACGCTCTCTCCTCAGCCCTCTTTTCCTGCACCTCCGAGCAGCGGCACTGACGTCTGCAAGTCTCTATCTGCTGTTCCTCCTCTCTGCCGTGTCAGGGCAGCGAAGGCAGACAGAGGCTGAGCCACGGTGCCTGAGCGCTGCAAACTGGTGCTGAGAGGCTGATAGACAGCACTGCAGAAAGTTGGGCTGCTGTTCCATTGCTTTCCCTGCGACTTTCTCAAGGAGCAGAGCCCTTCCAACATCCTCCTAAGGCCCACGGGCAGCCAAGCAGAGCGCAACCCAGCCGGGATCAGCACCTCACTCCACATGGCTGAGGGGCCCAGCTGGAGAGAGCTCACCCCTGGCAACGGGGACAGCGAGGGAGCCCCAGGAGACACGGGAATCATCCCAGGATCTACGGACGTGGAGAGCACTGGGCGAGAGCAAAGCTCTGGCCCCTGTGGAGCAGAGCCAGTGTGGGACAAGGTGAGAGGGGCGGCGACAGCGGTGGAGATGGAAGAGCAGTTCCTGCACTTGGCCATCAGGAAGCAGGTGTCCTACAGGTAGGAGCCCTGGGCTGTATGCAGACATGCTGTGGGGCCTGGGCTGGGTGTAAGGGATGAGTCTTTCATCTGTCAGGGTTGTCATGGGGGTCACGCCCAAACTCCATTCCCAGAGCCGGGTGCTGCTCATCCCTGCACTCTTTCCCACAGCCCTGTCCTTGAGTGCAAAAACAGGGAGCTCCCAGCAGGGAGAAGTAACGGTGATGCTGAGGTAAGGAGCTGAGGCTGGAAAGCCTCTGGGGCAGGCTGCTGCAACAGGAACATCCATTCCGGCTCTGGGTTTCTCTGTTGGTGTCATGGAGCCCAGCAAACCACCACATAACACTGTGTCCTACAGCACTTGGAGAGCCAGCTGTGGGGATTTGAGGCCCTGGTGTGCAGGGAAGATTACCTACACTTTGGGGCCCATTTGCTAACCTCTTGGCTCAGTGCCCGTGCATGCAACAGCCCTTCTCCCCCTTTGCGAGGGCAGTGAAGCAAACTAGGACCAAATTGCTCTCTAAATCCTGCAGTAATGGGAACTAATGGGAAACCGAATTAGTGCCTGCAGAGCAGGAGGGCCCTGGGCTGAGTCATCCCAAGCATTAATTACTCTTGCAATGGGTGACAAGCAGGGGCTGGGTGACAGTGTCCCACCTGAATTAGCACTGGCTACAAGCTAGGGCTGTGGCAGCGCTCCTGGCACAGCCTGGCCCAGGGGCTATAGAGCAGGGGGCTGCCTCCACCACTGAGATGAGGGATAGCTACACCAAGTGCGGGAGCAAAGCGGGCTTTTCTTCCTTTAGCTGTCTTTCTTCAGATGTTGAGCGGATTAGCCAGCTGCAATTACCCAGCCTTCACCGGGGAGGAAGGGAGCATATTGCAGCCTAATTTGATCAGCCTGAATTCTCTCCAGAGCTGTCCGATATCACAGGGGAATGTTCACATCCTGCTCTCTGCTCCATGTGTGCCCAGGAGCTGGGAGGATCTGGCAAGGAGTCCCATAGAAACCCGACAGAGGCATTTCCCGAGCCCCAGTTCGGAGTTTGGAGGCCCTC